CTCAGAGCAGGCTGCAGGGCCTGGGTGCCATGCTCTGGTCTCAGGGTTCCACAGGAATGCCAGGTAGGCTGGGGGCCAGGACGGGGAAAACAGGATGGGCGGAAGCTTTGCTCATGCCCTCACCACCCCCAACCAGGTGTTCACCCACCCAGGCCACAGCACACCCTCTGCCAGCTTCCACAAAGGAAGGAGGCTGTGCCTACTTCACAGACGAGAAGCCTGAGTCAGGAGTGGTTCGGGCCCAATGCAGTGCTTTCTTTCAGGGTGCCCCGAGTGTGAATTCTGGCATCAGCACCTGCCGGCTGGTGGCCCCTGACAGTCTCTTCTCAGTGTTCCCATCTGAAAGGGGATGTGTAGGCCCTTCCTCTTGGGAAGATGAAATAAGAGAAGGCACATAGGGCACCTGGCCTGGGGCCTGGCATGAGCGCTCCATAAACAGTAGCTATTGTGATTATTGCCATATTTCCCCTGCACCCTCGCTATGGAAAGGGCCTCAGACTGCACAGCAAACTTGGGTTCAGGTCCTGGCTCTTTCCTTACCAGTCACCATCTCTCGCTAAGCCCCCTACTCCTGAGCAAGCCGTACAGGGCTTTGCACCCATGAGTGGTTCCTCAAAGGAAGAAGGCACAATGGAGATCCCTGTGGAAGGTGACGTCCAAAGTTGGCTGCGTGCCCTTTTGCTGTGTGACTGCAGCCTCCCCTAGTGAGAGCTGGGCTCTGTGCTCCCTCTTGATGAATGTAGGGGGATCTGAGACTGCCTTGACCAACAGAACACAGCCAGTGTGGTGCTATGGGTCTGCCTGGCCTCAGCCTTGAGACCTAGGCGCTTCCATTACGTCACCTTGGAGTGCTGAGCTACCCTAAAGAAGTCAAGCTAACTCGGAGAGACCGTGTAGAAAGAGGAACCTTCAAGTCTCCCTGGTTGATGTCACACAGAACTGAGATGAGCTGTTCTCACCAAGCTCTGCCCAAGTTCCAGAGCTAGGAACAAATAAACAGTTGTTTTGGGTATGGTTCTCACACAGAAACAGATGGCCGACCCAATCCTTCATGCCTTCTGCACTGTCTTTACCCCAACTTGGCTTGTGCAGGGTTGAGCTCCTTGGCCACAGCCGACTGGACAAGGGGATGGGCGCCTGACTTCAAGGCAGCCAACCTGTTGGCTGGTGAGAGGCCATTCAGACTTTTCTCCTCTGGAGTTTAGGAATGAAAAAATAAGAGCCCTTAGCCAGCCAGACTATGAAGGAGGCTGGAGCTGGGGGTTGAATGGGAGCTGGGGGAGACTTTCAGTCCTGTACAGGCCACCCAAACTGGGGAGAGAAGCAGGAAAGACGATAGACTGTGGAAGCAGGTTCTCTGAGGGTTCCAGTAAATCACTTAGCTCCAGCTGGGCTTCGCTCCCTTCTCCTTGTGCCTTATAAACCCTGACTTCAGGCCCTAAAAGACTCCAGGGCCCTTGGCCAGCTGGTGACAGAACTTCCCCAGGGACTCCTGATGCCATCCAGGGGTCTACACTCCTGCTCTCACCCCTTCTCCCTTGCTCTCTGTGACATGTTCCCTTGCCTCCAACCACAGACTGTGGCCTTGTCCTCCAGGGCCTCAGGACACAGCCACTCTCTCCTGGTCAAACAGGGTTTATGGCCTGGAGTCCAATCCCATCTTCCCCAGGTGGCCCTGAGGTCTCCAGTGGCAGAGCAGAGGGTATGGCCAAGTGTGGCTTCCACCCCAACCCATCTGGTATCCCTGTCGTGTCCTGCACAGTCCCTTACCCTACCAGTTCTGAGTTCAGCCACTACCCCCTTGCTTGCCCATGAAGATGTCACGCTAGTAACAGTGGTCATTAGTGTACCCAACAGGTGCCACACCCTATTTAGGGTCACTTTACCACACTGTTTTCCATCCTCCCAGACACCACATGCTCTGCATGTGGGATGCAGTGGTGGAGGTGAGATTTGAACCAAGGTCAGCCTGACTCCAAAGCCCATGTCCCGTCTGCCACTCTGCTGTGTGACTCTGGCCAGGTTACTTTCCCTCTCTGAGCCTCGTATTCTGACTTGTGCAGGGTACACCAGGGAGGGGACATGGTACTTGCTGCTTGCTCTAACACTCATCTTCCTGGTGCTGCCTCAGCCTAGTCCACTTGAATGTCGGGAGTGGGAACCCAGGCTCAGCATCCTTGCTGCTTCAGGCGTGTCTGCCTCATGGAGGGGCAGGCCTGGAGGCTGTTCCAGTCTTTCTGTCTCCTGGAGAGCAGACTGGACTCTCAGAATTCAATATCTTGCCTTTTCCCCAACAGCTTCCTCCAGCCTCGTCGCCTTGGCCCCAGATTAAAAGGTGAGCAGGGCAGCCAGCTCCCAATAGGGTTCGAGGCAGCAGGACATTCTGCCCCCAACACTCCATGGGGTCTGAGGCATAGCAGCGCCATCAGGGCTGTGGGGCAGTGTGGGTGGCCCAGGAAGGCTCTGGTCCTCCAAACCACCTCTGGGCTCAGGTTCCAGCTGTGTGTGTGCCAGGGCAAGGCAGTATCTGCTCCTCCTTTCCCCCTTGCAGAGGCTGTCCAGGCATAGAGAAGGCAGCCTCTCCGGCCTGGATTCCCAGATGATGCCCTTGAAATCCATAAGGGCTTTCAGCAGCAGTTGAGTTCGTGACCCTCTTCCACAGATGAAGGCTACACAGCCAGGAAGGGGTTGCACCAGGGCTAAAACCCAGGCCCCCTGGCTTCCCACCTGGGCTCGGCCCAGTCTCCAGTTCTCTCTGCTTGGGCTGACCCAGTCCAGGGGCCCTGGGCACTCACATTCCCCCACAGTGATCCTCCCCCATCTGAAAACAACCTAGGCATTTGCTCATGTTCTGGAGTTTCCTCAGCAGCCGGTTCTCTCCCAGCAGCCAGGAGTAAATTAGCCCCTTGACCTCCCTGCTCTTACCAGAAGCTTGAGGCATCCCAGAGGGGTTAGTAAGAACCCGTATGAGCCGCCGCCTGCAGAGGACGTGCCAGCTGGGTTTCCAGGTCTGGGGCGATAGAGGGCCTGTGTGCTGGTCTCTCCTGGGAGGAGGGGCAGGCTTGTGGGGTTCTTGAAGATTCACGTGGCCTCCTCTTGTATATAGACCCAAGGACCCTTCCCCCATCCCTCGTGCTGCTCAGAATGCTCTCCTGCCCAGAAGGGGCTCTGAGAAGCCTTGAGCCAGTTTTTTTTTTTTTTTTCAGACAGAGTTTCGCTCTTGTTACCCAGGCTGGAGTGCAATGGCGCGATCTCGGCTCACTGCAACCTCCGCCTCCAGGGTTTGGTCAGTGGCTCTGGGAGTCAGGAAACAGGCCTGGACCTGTCACTTAGAGGCTGTGCGCCACCCTGTGAAGAGTGGGATCATAGTTACCACTGCCAGTTGCAGGGGACTGACCGAAAGGCAGGCACCTGCACGACCTACAGGGCAACCCCCACGCTTTCATTCCATCCTCCTAATGACCAGAAGCAGTAACATCGTGTATTTCACAGGCAGGAAGTCTGAGGCTTAGAGGAGTTCAGTCACAATGCCAAACAGCTGGTAAGTGCTGGAACTGGAACTCAAACTTAGCCCTGACCTCACCCCTTACAGCCTTATAACCACTGGTCTAGGCTTGCCCCCAGGGAACCTCAACCTTTGCACACCAATAGTCCAGGATCCTATGGGGGGAGGATCCTGTTTCTTCTCAGGGGATAAAGCCATAGTTCAGGGCTTGAGCCTCCCCGGAAGCAGGGACGATGTCAGGTGGTGGCTGGTAGAGGTGGGAGAGGGCAGGCTGGCCTAGCTATGGCTACCAACTGCTTCAGCCGGAACCAGGAGCCAAGCAGCCTCTCAGAGATGCCTTTAGATTGAATGAATAAGTGACTGAGTGCCAACTCCATGCCTGACTCTGCCCACCATGGAGGCTTGGCTTAGAAGGTGCTAGGCATGTAGCTGTGCCAGTTTGGGTGGGGGCCTTGGCCCTGGGAAGAACCCTGGTGGGAGGAGCTGCAGCCCTTCTTTCCTACTGCTCCCCTCCACGTTTTAGCTGGGTCTGTGCCCATCGATCCTCGTGTGGCTGGAGTTCTCCCCTAACCTGAAGAATGAGCAGCGGAATCACCCTGGGTCCGCTATGGGGCTGAACCCAAGGAGTTACCAAAGAAATCGGGAACCTGGAGGGGAGAAACCAGGCCTCCCTGACCCTGAAGCCCCTCCCTCCTGGCAGAGATTGGGGGTGGTCTGCTGGCTGAACTACTGGCCCAGCTTTTCGGGCCAAGGCCCATGGCTGATGGGAAATTTACAGGGTGACTGCCTGGCTCCTCACACTCCATCCTCGGGGACATCCCTCTCCAGGGTCAAGTTTGGAGCTGCTGGGTTTGGTTTGAAAGCACAGGGCTGGAAGCAGTGGGTGGGGAGCTGTTTTGTGAGCCTCCTTGTCTGCTCACATGCAGGCAGATCCTAGCCCCAAACCCAGAAGCCCTCACAGGCTCGGGACAGGCTGAGAGCATGGCCTGGTGGAAGATGGGGCCAGACTGGGGTGGTGACTGGGTCTGGGAAGCCTCAAGGGCAGCCCAGAACTGCCTCCCCCAGCCCCACAGCCTGGGCACTCGACGTGGGAAACGGCACACAGAAGGTGCTTGATGTATGCTGTGCAGAGAAGGTTTGGGGCCAATCCTTGCATCAGTCCAGGCCAGTGCTGCAGGGAGCCTCCAGCTTCCGGGGAGCTAAGCCCTGAGCCCCGCAGAGCTGCTACCATGAGGCCTGGCAGTCAGACCCACTACCAGACCAGAGGTGAGGGAATCTCTGTGCCCACAGTCTCAGGATCCCCTTGGGGTCTAGAGTCCCCCTCTCCAGCCAGTGCTGCCAGCCACAGCCCCAGCCGCTGTCCTAGGAGGAGTCTCTGGAAGTCCCTGGAGCATCCCTCCCCCCGATGTCCCCAACCCTACCCCCATGGAGGACCCCTCAGCAGTCCCATCCCCCCCAGTGAGATAATAATGACCATAATGAGAACAGTCACCCACACGTGTGCACAGCGCTTTACAGGTTACAAAGTGTTTCACATACATCATCTCAATTCCTCACAACAGCCCTGTGAGGTAGGCAGGGCAGGGGGTAATGTTCCCATTTGTACAGATGTGGAGACTGAGGCCCAGAGAGGCCAGTGACCTGCTTGAGGCCACACAGCAAGTGAACAGCAGAGCTGGGACCGGAGGCTGGGGTCGGCCCCACTCCAGCCCCTGGCTCTCTCCACTGACTGTGCTGTCCCCCAGGAGGACCCCAGCCCTGTCCAGAATCTCAGCCACACCCGAGCCAGGCTCCCACCCCTGGCAGTATTGCCACCTGGCAGCCCAGCAGGCAGGTTCCCACCCCCTTTGGCAGACCTGTCCCCTCTACCCACTCCCTGCAAAAAGCCAGGCCAGAGCTGGGCCCAGGCCTGCCCCCACAGCCTGCTCCCAATGGTGCCTGGGGCGGGGTGGGCAGGTGGGTGGGGCTGGAACCTCCTTTCCTGTTTTCCTGAGTGATCCCTCCCCACAGGGGAAGAGAAGAGAAAGGAGGAAGAAGAGGAGGAGGAGGAAGAGAAAAACAAGAAACTGAGTTGGAAGAGGGCCCTGGAGCAATCAGGACGTCAAAAGTTTGCATTCCGACTAGCTATAGGAAATAGTTTTTTTTCTCTTTTTATTATTTCAAGTTTTCATAAAAATCCATAATTATTGAAACCCAAGTTACAGAGAAAGTTCGTAACTTTTTTATTGAATTACTGACTCTGCCGTATGTCGGTCTCTCGGCTTTCACCTCCAGTCTGTCAACGCCCCTGTGCAGGTGGGGTCCCCAGGCCTGGGTTTCTGAGGTCCTGGTAGAAGGAGGGCAGGTGGTGAGAGCTGGCGGGGGGCGGGGGGCAGCAGGGGACGGAGGCGGGAGGGAGAAAGAGAACGTGTGGAGAAGGGTAGGGAGGACGTGGGAAGGACTGGAGAGTGAGCTGGTGGCGGCCAGGCCCCTTCCCCTGCCCGGCCGCCCGGGGGTCCCTGCCCCCCGCCCCAGCCTCATATCATCTTCATGTTGAACTTGCGGGGCGCGTCGGCGGAGCTGATGCCCGCGTCCGACTTCCGGGGCACATACTCGATCTCGATGTTGTGCTTCGTGTTGCCCTTGCCCCGGCTCCAGAGAAACAGCAGCACCAGGCAGAAGAGGACGACGCCCAGGAAAGAGATGAAGCCCATGGTGGTGGCGATGATAAGGGTCTTGATGTCGAAGGGGAAAGGCACAGTGGCGCGGGTGCTGTTGGCCTCTCCCTCGCCCGGCTGGTTGGAGATGAAGGCGAAGGTCTTGTTGGGCTGATGGGGCCAGTCAGGCGAGTAGCTGCGCACATGCAAGTGGGCGGGCATGGAGTCGTTGCCGCCCGCGTTGGCCGCGATGCACAGGTACGTGCCGTTGTCCTGTACCTGGGCGTACCGCACCTCCAGCGTGCCATCGGGGAAGACTGTGAGCCGCCCATTGCTCTTGGCTGAGACCAGGTGCTTTCGGGGCGAGAGCCAGAGGATGGCGGGCGGCGGGTCGCCGTCGGCGCGGCACACGAACTGCACCGTGTGGCCCTCGTCCACAAACACCTGCTGTGCCTTGCGGTCCCGGATGCGGGCGCGGCGGCAGGTGAAGTAGTTGGGCAGCAGCACGTCGGGGAAGTCCTTGAACTCCTTGCCCTGGACGAACTCGGGCGTGGCGCAGGTGGGCTGCTGCCGGTTGAAGTTGAGCCGCCAGCGGCGCCGGAACACCCACAGGAGCCGGCAGTCGCAGGCCAGCGGGTTGGAGTCCAGGATGAGCGTCTCCAGGTTGCCCACCGAGTGGAAGACCGATTCCTCCAGCGTGGTCAGCTGGTTGCCAGACACGTTGAGCACGCGCAGGTAGTTGAGGCCGCGGAAGGCATAGGGCTCCACCACGGCCAGCTGCCCGCCCACCAGCTGGATCTCCTGCAGCCGGAGCAGCTCGTGCAACATGGAGCCCTCGATGGTGCTGATGGGGTTGTAGGAGAGGTTGAGGAAGCGGAGATAGACCAGGTGGCGGACGGCCAGGTAGGGCACGGCTGTCAGGTTGCAGTGTGTGATGGACAGCGACGTCAGGTTGAGGCCGTAGAGGCAGTTGGGTGTCATGGTGTCCAAGTAGGGCCAGTGGGAGATCTCCAAGACCTTGAGTCGGTACAGCCTCTTGAAGGAGTAGTCCCGGATGGCGTTGATGTTGAGGTGCCGGAGCCTCAGGACGATGAGGCCGTGCAGGTGGGACAGCGCCTCGGTGGGAATGGAGGTCAGGTTGCACTTCTCCAGCGTCAGCTGCTCCAGGCTGTTGAGGCCACTGAAGGCGCGGTGGGAGATGTAGACGAGGTCATTGTCGCCGACCTCCAGCGACTTGAGGTTGTACAGGTCCTGGAACATGTAGTCCAGCAGGATGACGATCTTGTTCTCGCTGATGTCCAGCTTGGTCAGGTTGCTGAGGCCGGTGAAGACGCCCAGCGGGATGAGCTTCAGGCGGTTGCTGCGGAGACCCAGCGTCCGGAGGTTGAAGAGGTTATTGAAGGCGCCGGGCTCCACGGCGCTCACGACGTTCTCGTTCAGCTCCAGCTCCTCCAGGTGCGGGAAGCTGGCGAACTCGTCCTGGTTGAGCGTTTTGATGCGGTTCTTCCCTAGGTCCAGCAGGCGAGTCTCGGTGGGGATGCCCTCAGGTACTGCCACAAAGCGCTTGCGGTGGCACAGCACGGCACGGTCCTGGGCGGAGCACTCGCAGCGAGGTGGGCAGCCCGTGGCCGAGCCTGACAGCACCGAGCCCAGCACCAGCAGGAGGATGGGCTGCCAGCAGGCCAGGAGGGGGCTGGGCATGCTCCTCGCGCCCCCCGCCAGCATCCTCTCACTCACCTGCAGACGGAAGCAAGCACAGGACAGAGGTGGCGGTTAGGGGCAGTGTGTGTCTGGACCCCACCCCAAGCCACCTGGGTCCCCTCCTGCCCTGTGACAGAGATGCTGACACAGGCAGAGAGGCAGGGTCCAGGGTCCAGATGCCCAGGCCAGAGGGCCTCTGGCCTCCTCATGCTGCCTCCTCTTTGCCTCTTACGTTGTCCAGAGTCTTCCCAGAGGACCCTCCCAGCATCCTTGGGATGGAGGGGCTCAGGGAAGGGGTGGGTCACCTCAGAGAACCTGGCATTCGCGCCACCTCTTTTGTATTTCACAGGCGGTGGACTCCAGGCACATGCCCTGCCCTGAGTCACAGCTCACTTGGTGCTCATCAGGGATAAAACCAGAACTGCTGAGCCGCCTTGGGCTCACAGTGGGGATCAAGGGGCTCAAGGGCTGAGGCCTCTAGGAACAGCCCTGAGAAGCCTGAGCCAAGCAGCCGAGTGTGGCTAGCCCCCAGCATGCATGGCCAGGGCTTCTGAGGCTGCCAGGGGTCCCACTGGCTCAGCCCTGAGCCCTGAGCCTCCCTGGGTGCAGATGCCATGCCCTCTCCCCATCAGCTCTGTGACTGGGTCTGCTGTAAACCAATTACACCAGTCACTGTCCGCGGTCTGCCCCCACGGGGTTCCTGGACTGCTGGAGGACACCCTCATCCGGAAGGCCCAGCCCTGAAGCCGCCCTCCCCTGTCCCCCTGCAACTACAAATCCAGCCTGGACTCGGTGGGATCTGTGACTCTCTACTTCCTCTGGGTTCCATCGGTGACCCAGCTCAGGCTTCTGAGCCCAGGGCCTGGAGAATGTCCTTTCCTGCCTCCCTGGTCTTGGCTTCTGTGGTTCTCTGCTCTGGCAATGCCCCTTCCCTGGCTGTTGAAATCCCATCCTCAAGGCCTAATTTAAGTCCACTGCTCTAAGAAGTGTTTTCTGATACCCAATTAAGAGTGTGCTCCCCTTACAAGACCCTCCAGCCTTCACCTGTCTGTCTCTCAGGGCTCCCACCACCTGCTTCCTAGCACCAGGGTTCTGCACAGCTGCTAGTCTGAGGAAGGCGCAGATTCCCACAGGCCAGGATGGCCAGGCAACCCTGGAGGAGTCTGTCCCTGCGGCAGCACCCCGGCTTGTTCAAGCTGGGCCCTGAAGCCATGCAGGGCTTGGGAGGTGGTGACAAGAGGAATTGCCAGGAGCAGGGTCCACTTGCGTATAGGCTGCAGCTGAAATGAGCGAGGGGTATGTGGGAGCCTCTGTGAACCTCTCCCACCCCTGTTTAGAGGCCACTTATCCCCACTTCTACCCTAAACTGCCTCACATCTCCTCCTTCCCTCCTCTCTCTCCACCCACCCCCATGGGAAACTGGCTGGGCAACCAGGGTGAGTCGGGGGTGGAGGGAGGCTCAGACCCTAGGAGTGGCTGCCTCTAAACTCCAGGGGCGGATCGGATGGCCTCTGGAGGCCAAGCTGCAGCCACCTCACTGGTGGGGCAAAGCCCCGTCCCTGCTCCTCCACTCCAGCCTCCAGTGCCCTGGGGGTTGCCACTGTGCCCACACCCTGCACTCATGGCCTGGAGGGGGCTCGCTGCAGGAAGGGGAGGCCCAGATTGGATGTCCCACCTTTCCGACCTAGCTCAGGCCCTTCTCCCACCCCTCCCCACACCTCACACAGCCCCTGCTTTCAAGGCCACAGGCCATCCATCCTTGTCATCCATGCATCAGCCATTAAGGCAACTTGAAGCTCAAAAAGGTGTGGCTGTCCCATCTGGGTTGGGAGCTCTGGCCTGTCCACAAAGTCACACACCTGCAAATGCTCCACCAGTCTCCCAGGACTGACAGGAGCTTGGTGGTTGTTGATTGACTAAGTGACTGATTAAGCAGAGGACTCAGGGTGTCACTGACATGTTATAGAATCTGCAAGGGTTTTGTTATCCCCAAGGGCTTTGTCCACCCTGACCCTCCCCTCAGCCCCTCTCATCCTTTCTCCAGGCTCTTCTGTAGTTCAGCCTCCACCTCCCCCCCACCCCCCACCCCCACCACCAGGCTATTTTCCACAGTCACATACGCTCCAGTGACCCACCAGAAAAGCAAACATCCTGACAGGCGATCAATAAGTAATTGGGCTGGCAGCTGGGGCTGGTGCGGGTGTGAGGCTGGGGACCTCAAGAGGTAAATAGGACTTTTAGCATCCAGCTCAGGGCCAGGCTGGCGGGTGATGGGAGTTGCTGGAGAGAAGGCTGGGTAATGAGGGGGCTAGTGAGGACACGGGCCACCCCGAGGTGCCGGTAATCCCCTCATACAGACGCAAATTTGGCACACAGGAAGCCCATGCCACCTGGCCTCAACCTGCCCACTCACCTCCTTTCCCACCAGTCCCTGAGCAAAGTCACCTGGACCTCCCCACTTTGTCCTGCACATTCCTGCCTCTAAACTATCTTCTTCTGGAAACTGTCCCAGACTCCTGTCCTGGTGGCCTTTGTAACCTTCCACCCCAAAGGCCACCTCCTCCAGGAAGCCATCCGTGACCTACTCAGTCAGATATCACCTCTTGCCACCAACACCGTAGCCACGTTATTCTTATTAGCAGTGATCTTATGTGATTGGTGTACAGCACACCTCATTCCCAAAGTGATTTGAACGAACTGGCAGAAAAGTTATGCTATAAGGACCATAAAAAAAAGATAAAAAAAGGGAAGCCGGTCGGGAAAGAATGCCACCAAGTTCTGCCTAGTGACTAAACGTGAGCGCTTCCCAGTGACACTGAGCAAAGAGGGAAACGCACTCCAAAGCCTCTGCATCACGAATGTATGTTTAATCCTGGTTCAGTCATGGGCGTGTGTGTCTCACCTGCTAGAGAGTGAGGTGCCCAAGGGCAGAGAGTGTCTGTCGCTCAGAGTGAGGTGTGGCACAGAACAGACCCCAGTGGGTGTTCTTTGAAAGGAAACACGTGCGCGAGTGAGTTTTTGCAGGGATGGACGCCTTTCTGATGGGGCTAACCCTCGATCAGGCTCACTGAGCAATGACAGATTTGAGGAACTGCAGTATGCTGAAGGCCAGGCATAGCAGTGCTGCAATCCCACTGTTATCACACTGTAATCCCAGCTACTCAGGAGGTGGAGGCAGGAGGATCACTTGAAGCTGGGAGCTCGAGACCTGGCTGGGCAACATAGTGAGATGCCTGTCTCCCATAAAAATATGAAAGTTGGGAGGCCGAGGTGGGTGGATCATGAGGTCATGAGATCGAGACCATCCTGGTCAACATGGTGAAACCCCGTCTCTACTAAAAATACAAAAAATTAGCTGGGCATGGTGATGCGTGCCTGTAATCCCAGCTACTCAGGAGGCTGAGGCAGGAGAATTGCCTGAACCCAGGAGGCGGAGGTTGCGGTGAGCCGAGATAACGCCATTGCACTCCAGCCTGGGTAACAAGAGCGAAACTCCATCTCAAAAAAAAAAAAATGAAAGTTAGCCAGGCATGGTGGTGCATGCCTATAATCCCAAATACTCAGGGAGGCTGAGGTGGGAGAATCCCTTGAGCCCAGGAGTTTGAGGCTACAGTGAACCATGATTGTGCCACTGCATTCCAGCCTGGGTAACAGAGCAAGACTCTCCATCTCTAAAAGCAATCAATCAGTCATCAAATAAAAGAGAACTACATTGGCAGAAAAGCTGGTCAGCCTTGCCTTGTACAGCTGCCACCCCCAGGCCTGGCAGTAGCCCCACGGAGCCAGGGGCCATGCTCTGTGGAGCTCTGGGAGCACATGGGTTCTGAGATGCCTCGCCCCATGCCTCTTACATCCGGCTGCCCTAAAGGTGGGGAAGCTGAAGCCAGAGAGAGGCTAGGATGCCTGCCCGAGCTGGTACAGCAAAGGCACAGCCTGCTGGGCCTAGTCCCCTGGTCCCCCACCCCCATGGCGTCCCTGTCATCTGAGGATGCTGACAGAGTCATGTCTGAGGGGTCACCCAAACTGCTGAGCGGGCAACGTGCCGCTCCTGCCATCCTGGCACTGTTATTGCTGCTGGCTACCCCTGTAACTGTCAAGAATAGCTATTTTATGCATTTTAATCAGTGTTTTATTTTGAATCCTTGCCCCTGAAGGGCTTCCTACAAGGGTAAGAGTTTAAAAATTGGACCAATAAATACAAAGGAGGTAAGTAGCAAAGGCAGGTAGGTAGGCAGGCAGTAGCTGTGCCTGCAGCACCACACACAGACCCCAGCAGCCAGTCCCTCCCTGGCTCAGGACAGTGGGGACGCCATCGGCCCGCACTACAGAGGGCAGGCTCCAGGCTCCAAGCTGCCCAGAGTGGGAGGGACAGGCTGCTGGCCACCAGCCACACCCTCCTTCATGCCATGGGGCAGATACAGCCTGGTTCAGGCAATGCTCCCTGACATGTGAGGTTCTCTGTGGCCAGCCTGCTGTGTGACCTCAGCCATGCCTGCCCTCTCTGGTATGTCTCCCCCACTGCACAGTAAGGGCTCCACTCCAGGGTCCCTGAGGGTGCTGTCCCCAGAAACCAGCCTTTTTCCAGCTGGAAGGTTGACATCCCCAAACCTTACTAAAGGGTAGAGGGGAATGGGAGGTTCATGCCCTAAGTTGCAGTTTCACTGGGGGCTGGAAAAGCCTCCTGGGGGGGAAGGCTCAGGATGACCAGCTTCCTTCCCTGGGGCATCACATTCAGGGTGTGCCCCCAGGGTCTCAGGGTGGAGGAGAGTAATTAGGGGAGATGGAAGGGGCCTGGGATCACCTGTGGACAGGTTCAGAGAACACTGAGGGAGCTAGGAGTCACTCTGTGCCATAGGCAGCATCTGGAGGTCCATGGGGGTTGGCATGACTCCCCCACATGTCCTCTACAGGATCATCCACCAGATACCTTTAGAAAATGGGAGGGACTAACACTTGGACAGCTCCTGCTAGGAGCCGAGCCTGGGGCTTTTTTCTTTTTTTTTTTTTTTTTTTTTTTAAGACGGAGTCTCGCTGTG